AAAATATATAATATCTAAGTATTTTGAACCTTCAAAATATTTTGGCAAGATCTGCCAGCTGCCGCTGCTTGGGACATTTAGTGAAATTTCTTTTTAATTCATTTCAGTAAATTCGACATTCAAACTTAAGAATAAGTTGAAGTTGAGGTGGAACAACATGAAGGAGATAGAAATTAGACATTTTACATATGATTTTTTAATGACTTCAATTTACCAAAACAACATGAGGTTTTTGGATTGCGTGGATTTTGGGGATCTAATCCAGGTTTTGTAACTGTATGACATGTCATGTCAGCTACTAACAAGGGATGTGTAACATTGTAACCATTGTTCATGAATTATGATCATTGATCATCCTCTGCATGCAGATGCCATTGCCAATGATTGAGCACACTCTTCCAACTCAAATGGGTCCTCCCAAACCTTGCTCATCCACACGCATCTAATGGCCCCTTATGCTGCGTCTCTTTTCAAAATTTTAGGGTTCATTATGCATTCTATTGAACAAAAATAAAATTATCGAATACAGGTTACTTCAATTATTATAATTTGGTAACGGGGTGTACCAATAAAAAACATTACGGTGCCATTTGGGTTTCTTAGATAAAGGATATCTCCCGATCAATTGAATTATCTTTCGTTTTAATTATATTTTCTTTTTCATCATAAGATTTTGTTTAAAAGATTTGAGCTTAATTGCATCGTTCCAATTAAGAATATTATTTACATATTAAAGTTAAAATAGTGGATTCAAGAGTTCAATTACTTTGAAGCTTCTTCGGCAATGGAAAAATTAACAACTTTACTTCTTTGAGAGCCCAGTAAGCCCACCCAGCTGATATAGGTCGTCCAAAAACACTAATTAGGCCTTAGAAAATCTTTGAAAGTCCTCCTTTGAAGCATTCTTAACTCGCCAATCAACAATCCATTCGCCTAGAATTGGAATTAATTAATTTTTAGTTTAAAACTCAAAGTTTAATTAAATGTTATAAGTAAAATTGCATGTTATGATTTGATTATTGGACAATGAAAAAAGACAAACAATTAAGAAATAACGATGCAACAATAAGTTCCCCTTATGGCTCCCATGGGCTTAAATCTCTAAAAAATTGAGACAAGAATCAATTAACATTAGTGACAAACACCAAGAGCGTGTTTGTTTTATAGTTGAAAAGTTTCAAACGTCCGTTAAGTTCAAAGTTACAAGACTCGTGAATTAAGTTAAACGGACTTTGAAAAGTGTGCTGATATTAAAACAAAGGTTAAAACCCTTATTTGGTTCCTTATAATATTTTTTTTATTTTAATTTAGTCCCACTTTAATTTTTTGTTTCAATTTAGTTCCTAATAATTTAAATTATTGTAATTTGGGACTTCCGTCCAAATGATTTAAACGGAGTTAACTGTTGGTCACGTGGATACCAGGTGAATGCCACGTAGATGCGTAGGTAGATGTCAAATTTCTTGAATATTAATGTACAAATATGTAATTTAGTACTCATCTCATGTTTCTGAAATTGATTCTTTTCTACTTTATATTTGGCTTTTTTTTGTTTGTTTTAATTTAAATGTCATTTTAAAATTGTAGTTCATAAGCTTTAAAAATAAAATAGAAATTATTTAACAATTTTCTTTTAATTTACAAAATATTATTTGAGAGAAAAAGAAAGGGGTGAAGGGGGAGTGCCAAGAGAAGGAAGTTGAAAGTAAGAAGAAAGGGATGAGAGTCAAAGGAGAGAAGAAAATGGAAAGGCAAAGGATCTAGAATATTTTTTCTAACAAGTTTCTCTACTTCTCTGTAACATTTATTTATTCTTTATTTTTTTTATTTCTTCTTTATATTCATCTCTTCGATTCTTCATTTTTTCTTTACCCCATGGTTTATCTTTTTTATTTCTTGTATATCTTTCAAAAAATTTATTAGAGTAATGTGTGAAGAAGTCTTTCCTATTATCAATGTCATGTATTTTGTGTTTTGAAATTAAAATTTATCAAATTCATGCTTCGGACTCAAAAGATTGTGCCTATAAGTGAATTTTGTTTGAAGAATTTTTTTCAAATACATGAGTAGACCAATATATACTAATATAAATAGTTAGATTAGTTCATGAATCATACAGGTTAAAAGAAAAATTACACCATAACATATATTTAGGATGTATAAATGGATAACTTGAATTATGTCATTTCTTACACCATTAGTGATCACTTGCAAGAAATATAATGATAGAGTTAAGCAAAATCATCATAATTGATATTGAGAAATAGTAAAAGAGCATAATTAACAGTACACTATGAGAGAAAATCTTTAGAACTCAAATATAAGCATTCTTAATCATCCATTCAAAATTCCAATGATTATTGACACTATTAAGAGTCCAATAACATCACTCAAATTAGAGTTGTCAAAGTGGGTTGTAACTCGTGAACCAACCTAACCCACCTTGAAAACAGATCGAATTGGAATAAAAATAATAAAAGCTTCATGATTAACAAAAAAAAAATTGAACCTGACTCACTTTCACCTAACCCACTTGAGCTAAACTCATGGTGGGTCAGATTACTTACCTAATTCACTTAATCATTTATTTTACAAATTTACACACTTACACTTCAACCCTAGCCCTTACCCACTTTTGGCTCATCATTATTCTCATTCATCATCTTTTCCAAATCTAAAAAATCGTCACATGGAGCCAACAATGAACCCTTTCTTCTCCTATGAGGTACGAGTCACCACACGTCTAATGTAGTGATGCTAGGACAAAACCCTCCTGAATCTTGACCTCTCCTGCCTTTTCTCTATGAGCCACCGCACGAGGTTGACTTCTCCTTGCTTTTCTTCATGAGCCACTACTGTGCCTCTATGAGCCACCACAACTCCCCACGCCACCAAACCTTCGTGAGCCACCGCACCAACCTACAAATCTTGTTTGACTTCTCCTCTCTTCTCTCCACGAGCCACTGCACCTCCACAATGTGAGCCTTCGCTCATTCGCAAGCCATCGTGGCTCCTCGACCTTGAGCCATCGAGCCACCATTGCAAGCCTTTGTGAGTCATCCTTACCCACTATGCGAAAGTAGTTGAGTCATTTGTCTTTGAGCCTTTGTGAGCACCTCTACAAGTCTCCACAAGTTTGTGTTCTGAGTTAGCCAATTAAGGATGATTTTATGTTTTGATTCTTCTTAAAATTGGAGTTTTTATTTTTTTTGAAAAAAATAGGTGAGTTGGTAGGATGACTCGCTTAGCCTATCAACCCATAATGGGTCAGACCGTACTGGAAAATTTTAGGCAATAATACAAGTAGGACAGACTCATCTAGCCCACTTATAAAGTGGGTTGAGATGGGTCGGGTCAAATAAATCGGACTTGTTTGTTTTGACAACTCTAACTCAAATGTTGCTCACTCTCGTATAAACACACCTCCTTTTTTTAAAAATATATATAAAATATCTAAATTACACCGAACCTGCACCTCCGTTTCCCTTCCCCGCACTCCCGTTTCCCTTCCCCGCACCTCCTTCCCCACACCCTCCTTCTGGCGCCGCAATGAATGAAATGAAGTGGTAGTACTCCTTTCTTCTTCAGTAATGAGGGTTTAAAGGTTTAGTGAGTAATGGGGTTATGTTGGTCTTTATTGTGGTAATGGCATGGTGGAAACCTGGAAAATTGGCCCGTAGATAGGAGTGCAGTGGGGGAGAAACGGAAAGCGGTTTGGTGGGTTATTATGAGGACGCGTGTGAGTGCATGAGAATCAGTGGTTTTCTTTTCAATTTTGACTTTGCTCTCAACACTGGCGCTTTGCAATTAACTATCTTTGGCTTTGTGTGACTCTGAATGTGAATGTATGTCCCATGAATACAAAAGGTGGCGTTATGTCATTGGAAGCTTCCATCGGCTATCTCATGTCAATATGTATAGGCACGCATCATATATCCATACACTGGATTGTGGATTGTTCTGGGTATATACCTCAAATATAAATGCATCTTAATATAAATCATGGGATAGCATAAATCTATTTTCATTATAACTTGAAGGGCGTGGGAGCGGCGAAGAGGATCCACTCGCCGACATCAGAGGCGGCAGAGGCGAATTTGAAGCGCGAGAGGAAGATTGCAGTGCCGGAAGGAGGGTGCCAGGAAGGAGGTGCGGGGAAGGGAAACGGGGGTGTGAAGAAGGGGTAATTTAGACATTATATATATATTTTTTTAAAAAGGAGGTGTACTTATATGAAAGTAGAGGTGTGTTTATCATCTGCCATAATACAAGTAGGACAGACTCATCTAGCCCACTTATAAAGTGGGTTGAGATGGGTCGGGTCAAATAAATCGGACTTGTTTGTTTTGACAACTCTAACTCAAATGTTGCTCACTAAAGAACATGCAATTCTATCAGGTTTGACAAATCTTTGATCGATAATCTTATTTGGTAATCCCGTCAACTTCTCACTCAATAGTTTATTTACCTTGAATTAGAAATATTAATACCGATCCAATTTAATTTAAAACTTTAATTAAATAACATCTAATCTAAAATAAAATTTATTACATTTATATAAAATTCTAACAGTATGAATTTCATACCTTTTAGTTGATAAAGATAAATGCTCACACGTTAAATTTATGATAGGAAGTCAACATTACCCAACCTACCCGGTTTCAAATTAATTTTGATGGATTCAAGTAATGAATTTAAACTCAATTTTTTTTATTGTTTATGTTATAATAATAAAACTTGATTTAATAGATAATATTTTTAACATAATGCTATATTTATAATTATATTGTTGATCTTAAGATATATATTGCACAATACATCTCGATTTGAATTTCATACTTCTTTATTTTACAATTTTATTATACATAATGTTAATATTAATGTAATATGTTAGAAAAGCAATAGACTTTTTTTTATATTTGTGAATCAAACTCAATATAAAAAAATAGACTTTAAAAATATTATACCATAACCAAAAAGAGATAAATAAAGAAGAAATATGATGCAAACTTTCCGTTACGTTATATATATCTTCTAAGAAAATGATCAACTTTTCGCCCATCTCTTGTGGGGTGAAATGTAAGAAGGATCTAAAACTTAACACAAGTATAATCATAATTTTATAATTTTTATGGAGGGACAATTTGGGTGGGTGGGAATGATAGGAAATGTTGTCCTCCATAGGAAATTTTCTACAGATTGATATAACCATTTTTGATCATCCACTCCAAACTCCAATGATTGTTGACGTTTTTGAAAGCCCAATAAGCCCACCCAAATGTTGCTCGTCCAAAAACGTCTAGTTGGGCCCTAGCGAATCTTTGATAATCTTCTTTTGTAGCTCCTTTTACTTGCCATTCAGCAACCCATTCGCCTTCAATTCAAAATAATATAGAGCCAGTTTGAATCTTAAATTAAAGAACTAAGTCTAAAATTAAAGTATAAAACCGAGAGTAAGACAAGCTATGACATACGACAACATACGTTTTATAATTTCATAACTAAAAACATTAGTAATACTTTTAAAAAAAAAATTAGCGATACTTTCTTTAACATTTTTTTTATACCCTCTTTATTATTAGTTAAAATTTATTAAAAAACCATAAATGTTTAGATTTTTAGTCTCATTAGCAAGCCTTTCACCTAAATTATTAGTAGAATTTATTAACTATTTTTATCTTCAATCAATAATAGAGAGTATTAGAGTGAATATTACTACTCTATCAAAGTAGATATTTAACCCTCCATATAAAAGTGAGACATGCCAACCATTAATTAAAAAAAAAAATCAAGAGTGCAAATATGTTAACATATTCTAAATTTATTTTGTATGTTGACTCTTTTTTTTTAATCATTGGTTAAAATTTCTTACTTTTTCTCTAAAGTGAAAGGAACTCATTCATATATTTTTAAAAAAATTACAAAATCTACACAATCACCACTGATGATAAATTATGTATTTGATTACCTTTAATCAAATATCTGGTTTATTTAATTAGATTAAGAATGTCTTTAAAATAGCTTTATTTGAAGGTGTTACTGTAAAATAGTGACTAAAATCAATCTATACTAATATACATGAAGAATGAAGAGTCATTTGAAGACTTACCAACAAAAGTAAGAGGGCCATTTGAGGTTGTAACAAAACTCAACTGTGATGAGCGGTTGTTGTTGATGAAATCAATGTTCTGTTGGACATTCATGTCATTAAAAACATCTTGAAAGAGGTTGTAGTAGTGAACATCAATCACAGATCTCGTAAAGCCATTTGCAAGAGGGAAGAGTTCCCTAGGATTTGAGGGTCCTAGCCTATTTGATAACACCACATAGGCTGTGGAAGAGTGCCTGCGCACTGCTTCATAACCAGCCTTATAGTACTTGCTCAAGCTCTCTAGTGTCACACCAGGTGAGAGAGGCTCATTTATTAGCTCAACTGCATAAAGGCTTGGACTTTTTGCATACCTACAATGCATGCAATCATGGGTCTCATTATACATATTGTATGCAAAATTACATAGAGGGAAAATAGATTATACACCGACTCTTATCCAATCATAAATTATATATTTGTTAACTTTTATAATAATAATAATAATAAATCATGTCAACGGTGTATTGTAGTTGATTGACTGTGTAAAAGTATTTTAGATTGTAGATACATAGCCATTAAACTAAATTGTAAATGTGAAAATAGATCATATTGACAGAGTGTAAAATAATTTTATAGTGTGATCCAATTGAAAATATGTTTAGGTTAAAAGTTGGAACATAAAAAATGTTGTACAAAACTGTGTCAAAAGTATAAGATATGAACCTTGCGGTCAGGAAATCTATAACTTGAACTGTTTGTTGAATGTTTTCATCTGTTTTTCCCCATTCTTGTGAACCATCTCTTGAAGAACTGTGTTCAAAACCATTTTGGGAACCAGGTGCAGCATGAAGATCAAGGATGATTTTCAATCCATATTTCCTGCAGGTTGATCATTAATTAATTCCAATATTATTCTATTAATGTGATATATCTAGTCATCCTCAACTAACACATTTACATTTGGTATCATCTGCCTAAAGCCATATAAATACTTTATAAAAAAAAAAGCTTATTTAATTAATTAGTTTATGGACTTACTGTGCCCACAAAAAAGCTTTGTCTAGTGCATTCAAGGAACCCCCAACATATGGTGGGGGAGGAGTAGGATCACTTGCTATCCACCAGCCAATTGGAATTCTAACAGCATTCAGTCCATTACTAGCTATGAACTTGAAATCATCTTCAACAATAAAAGTGCTCCAATGTTCCTATGGAAACACACACCATCATATCAATCATTCACACAACTTGCTACATAATTGGACCATTCTATCTGCACGAGAAGGATTGACATGTGCAACTATTTCATTAAAAAGAAAAAATTGACATATGCAACTTTTAAATAAATAATTATAGATGACAGTTGTCGATAGAATACTTTCACAACTGTGTACCACTGTGCCAGCCATCATTCTTGAAATTAAACTAACAGGTTTTCAATTGGATCAATCTTTTTAAGCGGGTATTAATGTAAGAAATAGTTGAAAATATCATTATAACATATTAATATATGCAATATAGTACAGAATTAAAAATACGAGATATACATAATTCAGAAGCAATTTTATAACCATGAAAATTAATACGCTCTGAAAATATTGTACAGGGTGACCTTTTTGATTTTGATTATTTTCAAAGAATATTTTTTTAATTAAAGAACTTTTACATATTTAAATAAGAAACAGATTAAAGCAATCAGTCATTAGGCCTTGTGGTCATAGTTCATTTCTTTGACCCATATCTCAGTACATGACCTGTAACCTAAGGCACTCTTTGTCAACCCTTTGACTTTTATATTATTTTACCTTCATAACTTGGGGAGCTTTTGAGGGTCCATATCCATTTGTTACTTGAAATTCCCCTTGCATCCTTCCACCAATTGTCATTACAAAAACAGATGGATCATCATCTCCCCATCCTTTGACCTCTGAAACATCAGCAGTCACCAGATCCTCTGTCTTCGCCTACAACCACATGAATAAACTTGTAAGCTATTACCTCTAGTCCTTTTTTAAATAAGAAACAAATGATTGATTTGTTTCTCTTAAAAAAAAAAAAAACGGAGAAAGTAATACTTAAAAGAGTAATGCGTTAAAATCGCGGTTGCGTTAAAATCTTTTAACATTATGGGAAATTGTGAGAAAATGCTTAAACAGCCAGTGTTCACAAAGAAGTACAATTTAAAACCCTTTTCTCAAACATAATGTCTTCTAGTTTCCTATTATTTTAAATTTTTAATAACCTTTTAGCAAAAGAAAACTAGAGAAGACATAGAAGCAGAGGAAGAGGAAGAAACGAAGAATCACCTGCAAGAAGTATCCATTGGAAGCTTTGATTCGAACACGGCTGGAATTACCACTTTCCTTCACAACATGAAACGTCAAAGAATCAGTGGAAATGTTAGACACAGCAACAACGTTAATCCCATCTAACCCCACGAACTGTTTGTTGAACACCCTGAATCTGAAAGTGTCCTTGTTCAGCCTCCACAACTGTACACAATATAACAGGTAACATCATCAAAATGTAACTTAATTGGTAGTACCACTTTTAACATAACACATAGGTTAGATCACTGACTGAAAATGTTTCCCAACCCGAAGCAGCTGTGCGATTTGCAACTATGATGGTTCCTCCTCCAGACTCCGCACAGAGATATTTTCGTGTTGTCACCGACTTGAACTGAAGTCCAGTTCCATCCTAAAAATCATCATGAAATAACATAGCTGTAAGCATAACCTAAAAGAATAGTTATTATGTATAATTAATTGTTTTCATATTTACTAACCAAGAAGTCTTTATTTGGAATGCCATCGAAAAGAGAAGGTTTCATCCAACCCTCAGTAACGAGCCAACCACCTAGATTAACTGCTCTCACTCGAAACCCATCATGTTTTAGTCTTCCGTGGGACAAGGAAAGTATACTAAACAAGGTAACCAAGTTAAGAAGCCATATTTTGAGGTTGACACAGTTCCTCATCATAACATGCATGTCTGTGATATCTTTGTGTCTCTACCTTGAAATGATTTTGCTCAGGAATCTTATATATATATATATATATATGGGAATGAAGAAGTGCTTGTAGCCAAATTCTAGAAACTCTGACCAATCATGGTCTACGTTGGTGATATTAATTTTTTTTTATATTAAATACAAATAAATGGAATTGGCATCTTTATAGTTGAAATTCACCCGCCGCATTGCGTCCACCACCGTCTTTTGATTTTCATTCTTTTCATTATTTTTAGTTGACTTGTATTTTCTCCAAGAATTAAACGTGTTCTCACTTCGCAATCTTTTTATTTTTAAATTATCTATTATTTAATTATTTTCAATTTTGTATTTACTTACTGTCTGTTATGTGTTGAAGCAGACATGAAAGAAATCAAGGATTGTCCTGTTGGTGTCGTTTAACAGTTGAGGGAGGTGAACATATCTAATTATCTGTGTGATTTTATAATCCACCTGTGTAAGTTCTTCACCTTTTCTCAATCAAAAATAAAGAATTTTGGAATGAGAATTTTTTTTTTAAAAAAAAAAAGACTTTTAACTAGTGCCTAAATCATTTCTTATTCTTTTTTATTAACATCAGCTTTCTATTAATGGGAGATTCAGTCATTCAGATCCACCGGTTTGTATTTTATCTTTTTGTTTTTCATAGAGATCAATCATATATTTTTATTTTGTTTTTTTGTCTCATCTCGTGTTTGCATCCGAAGCATCAAATTTTGAAGTGTCTTTTGGATAATACTATCAGCTTTATACTTACATAAGCTCATAGGATTCTTTCTAATCCACCATTTTTTTATATTTTAAATTTATTACTTTCCCAAGCTTGACGTTATTGAAATTTGGTTCTGTCATTCCTGAAAGCATAAGACCTAGATAAGTATTTTTAAGTAGCATTAGCATTCCACTCACGGGAGCTCCAAAAATCTTGATGGGATATTTCAGATCCACCATCTTGTCCTAAATTCTATCAATTTGTACGCATTAACATAAGTTGGTACTACAGCCAAGATGTTCTATTTTTTGAGACTAGTGAGTGTTCTCTTCGATGAGTTTCTCATTTTTTGAGCTTTGGTTTTTCAACCATTTTTTTTAGCTTTGGAAATTAATTTATATATAGGATACGAAGAATTAAGTTACTTTAGGAGTAATTTTCAAAAGGCAATTTTCTATCTTCATTTTTCATTTTTTTTTTTAATTTGATGGATTAAAAGAAAATGAAAGGTGAGGATAGAGTTATTTTTAGAGTAATTTGATTTCTTTCTTCTCTCTCTCACTCAGTATATAAAAGAAAAAAAAATTAGATATACTTTGTAAATAAATTAATAAGAGTTTTAAATGAACTTGAACATATTCTCACGATAATTTGTTTGATATTATGTTAGTGATATAAGTAGGCATGGCAATGGGCCGGGGCGAGGGCGGGTTTTATGTTCCCCGCTCCCACCCCTGTAAATTTAAACCGCTCCTGCCCCCGCATTTGATACCCGTTAGAGATAAAATCTGGGTACCCATCCCTGTCCCCGGTAGGATTCGGGTTTCGCTGCCCCGCCCTCGCTCCTATTTTTTCTTCTTCTTCTTTTTCATTTAAATAAATATGAACAAATTTTAAAAATATAAAAGAAAAATAAAATAATATAAGTTTTTACATATAAATATTTCTAATTTTGATTTATATATATATAAAAATAATTTTTTAATTATATTATTAAGCAAGGCGGGTACGGGGTACGGGGGTGGGGCGGGTATTAACATCGACGTCCCCACCCCCACCCTTGATTTTATCAATCAGGGAAAACCCGAACCTGAACTCGATAAACACGGGTTCCCGTCCAAATTGAGACAGGTTCGGACGGGTACTCACGAGAACGAGTTAGATTGCCATGACTAGATATAAGTTGCTATATTACAATTACATTTTTTTTCTACCTAAAAATGATTATTTTCAAACTTGAAGATAGCCTCTAGAGCATTAGACTCTCCATTCTTTTTAGGATTTCTTTTATTTAAATATAATTCATGAATGTGTAAATAATCTAGAAGTTCATATGTTTTAAGAGTCCCAAAATATTTGGCCTCATGAATGACTATCAATGTTCTTAATTTGGATTTGTCATGAAGCAGCCAAAACACTAATTCCAGATTCAAATATGATTCAAAATCGTAGTTAAATTTTCATTAATTAAATAGTAATAAGAATATTAAAGAAACATAATATCATAATTTAAAATATTAAAAACTGAAAATAAAACATAATTTTATTAACCCTTAACATTTAAATTATATACTAAATTAAAGCTTAAATCAATTATATTATAATAGTTTCAATAATACACATCAACGTTTATTTATAATAACAAACTAACATTCATAATAGAAAAGAAAATGATAAGTATTTTAGATTGATTTTATTTTTTAAGAAAAAATAAAATAATATTTGTTCTGAGTAAGTGAGACCATTAACGGAGAATCTTCAATAAGACACTCAATAAAAAAAAATTTAGTCACTATTTTGATCCAAAACATTTAGTGAGTGTAACATTCCTTCTTAAAACCTTTTAAGTCTACATACATTAGTTTCATCTAACAAGGATCTTTACTTTTTACCTCAATCTTACAAATTGTTCGTGTCTTTAATGTTATTAATGACCCATGAATATTAATCATTATAGTCATTATTGTAACTATTTCGTAAATCACAAATGTCCAACTATTATCATCTATGGCCTTATGGTCGAGACAAATAACTCAAAAATAATTCAAGAGTTTGGTGTAATATATAGGAGACGAAAACCATATGAGCTAGGTCGAAGAGATTGACATTATTCCAACACATCATAAAATACAGAGCTCTCGACTCGAGCATAAAGGTTCAAAGAGTCTAAGTATCATTATGTTCTTTGTCGGTGTAAATAGTCAACTAAAAGGAGATTAATACAATACATAACCCCCATACCCAAACATGAAAATGTGAAAAGTCTGAGTGTCATCATATTTTCTATCGGTGTGGATAGTCGATCAAAAGAAGAATAGTTTGATACAATATTATATTAAAAAAAATTATCGACTGTGAATTAGATACTCAAACATGATATAGAATGAATAAATGAATATTTGTATTTAGAACATGAATTTTTATATCATCTTGAATTATTTAGATCGACACAAATTTTTCCCTCATCATTAAAGACGAATTAAGCAAAATTTATGCTCAATTGGTGTAATATATAGGAGATCGAGATCATATGAGCTAGGTCCAAGAGATTGACATTATTCTGACACATCATAAATATGAAACTCCTGACTTGAGCATAAAGGTATGAAGAGCCTAAGGGTCATCATGTTTTTTGTTGGTCTGAATAGTCGGCCAAAGAGAGACTAATACAATACATAACCCCTAAACTCAAACATCAAGATATAAAAAGTCTAAGTGTCATCTTATTTTTTATCGATGTGAATAGTCAATCAAAAAACGACTAGTACCATACAATATTATATTAAAAAAAATTATCCGTTGTGAATTGAATCCTAAAACATGATTTAGAATAATTAAATAAACATTAATATTTAGAACATAGACTTTTATATCATCCTAATTTTCCCTTCAATTCCCCTTCATTATTGAAGACGAATTAAGCAAGATTTACGATCAATTGGTAGAAACTTGCATTAGAATTTCCAAGCATTCACTTGAATATATGCTCCAAATTATAAAAAGACGACAAACCCAAATTTTTTGTCGGTGGTACAATGGAGAGAAAAGATAGGCATCATCAATATCCAAACTGCATAGTCTACAACTCTGAAATATTTTCAAGTATATGCTACAATATTGTAACTTAAACTTACATGAAGTGAATTAATATGTAGCGTAGTGCATGGATATTGGAAAAATGGTAGCATTGAAATTTGGCAGAGATTTGATCTTTCTCAAATTGATACTATTTTTAAAATATATAATATGATCTCATTGTAGCATCAAAACCAGGGTTAGAGAGGACCAAGTTCAGGGGCAACCTTGGGCAAGAGACGACTAAAGTTGTCCACAATTCTAAAAGTTTTAAGCACTAATTTGTTTTACACAATTTCCATTTTTTTTATTATAAGAATTACAATGACGTAAGATTTGTACATTATAACTCAACACCTAATTTTACACGTGACCCAATCTTATTTGCCATCCTAGGGTTATTCCCTATTCTTGGACTTTACAAGGACAACTTTGGAAGGTGTTTGTTCATTTCGATCAATTCTCTTACACAAGCATATTAAAAGATGTTTAATTCGGTTCAACCAAATCAAATTTTAATTCGGTTCAAGCTAAACTCGAAGTCTTGAACTATGACTAGTGACCAAACCCAGATTCAACTCTCCCAATCTTTGCGGAAAAGCACTTAAAATTTGGAGAACGTAACGGTTTGGATTTGACCATGCGTTCAAGTTACGCGATGATGTGGCAAGCTTGAATGAGAATAAAGTTGCGTGATGTGTGCATACCTTATGGTAACTTTTTTGACACATGCACTTTATTGTTAAATGTTAATTTATCACATTACGTAACACATATACATACACCAATTGTCTAACACTGACACTGATTACAGTTGTTGTTGGCCTCTTTTCCTCTAAGACTTAGAAAATGGGAGTGAGAATAGCCTTTGTGGTATTTGTGTGTGTTCTTCCAACGATGGTATCAGCCATACGCCCTCACTTGGCCCCTTTCTATGTGAAAGGTCGTGTGTATTGTGACCCTTGTCGTGCTGGTTTTGAGACCCCTGCCACCACCTACATTGCTGGTAACTCATAATTATAATTAACCCTTTTTATTAGTATTTTCACTTCACCTTTCAAAAAATATATTAAAAGTTAATTAGTCTGCTAATCTCAGATCCGTTTCTCATTTTAATTAAGTTTTCTTTTTGAGTTACATTCCTAAGTATTTGACTTGCAATATAAAATAATGTTAGCAACAAACTTTTGGATATATTCTTAGAGTTTAGTTTACTCCAAATTTAAACTTTGGGCAAATTTTAAACTATCTCCTAGGGTTTCATCATGACATTTTCACTCCATTAATGTCTAGGTGCCGAGGTTACACTGCAATGCAACGACAGAATGACAAACAACATTGTGTACAGCAAGAAGGGTAGGACCGATTCCACAGGATCATACACAATCTTTGTGGACGCAAATCAAGCGAATCAAAATTGTGATGCCAGGCTTGTAACCAGTCCTCTTCCTGATTGCAAAGAACCCACTCCAGGTCGTGACCACTCACGTGTCATTCTCAATCGATTCAATGGCATTGCCACCAGAGATAGATTTGTTAATAACTTGGGTTTCATGAAGGAAACGGTCGCATCTAGTTGTGCAAAGATTTTCAGGCGTTACCGAGAGGCTGATAATGAGAATTAATTTCATTCAATTATTTTATATTCATGTTTTATCGTGATTGCATGTTAGTGGATTGTAGTATTTTGAATAATTTTTAGAAAGTTTGTTTTGGGCTATAGTGGTTTTAGTCATTAGTGAATCTTGTGTTGATGTTTTTAGTTATTCTTTTATGGAGAATTCTAGTTGGTACGAGACTAAACATGTGAATGTTTGGATGAGAAAAGGTCAAATAGATTTTGTAAAATTAATTTTGAAAGTGATGTGATTTATGTTTAATGTTTTTGTTATAGAAGGTAGTAGTATAATTTAGTATAATTTTTTTTTTATCTAACACAAAAAGTTAGCTCTTTCTACTCATAATCAATTCTAAACTTAAAATCAATTCCTAGACATAGAACAAAATATGTAAAAATTTATCTAAAGTCGTATTAACTAAAATTTCAATGTGTTTTGAGAATTCAACATAAATCCAAATATGACATGGCCTATTTGTTTGTGATGTAATGTGTACACTTTTTCTTATCCATAGAAATTGAAATTAATAGTAAAACTACTCAATCAAGAGAGTTGAATTGTGGAGTATCACTGTAGCATGATTACCATCCACTATACCTAAAAGGAGAGAAATCCCAAACATCATGAGAGGTGGTACCACGGAAGGGAAGGGATGTGAGGGAATCTGGGAGGGGCATAAGCAATATCACAGAGGACCAAATGGAGCAGAAGTAACAACTTTCTTCTTTTCAAGGTTTCCTGAAAGTTTCATGGAACAAGACTTATGGAGGATATTCCAGAAATGGGGGCGAGTATGGGAAGTGTTCATTGCAAGGAAAAGGAATAGAAGCGGTCAAAGGTACGGGTTCGTAAGATACGTTGGAGTATTGAACGCGAAAGATCTGGAGAAAAAACTAGACCAAATCTGGATTGGGAATACAAAGATGCATGTGAATATACCTAAGTACAAGAGAGGGGAAGGAAAGAAGTTGGAAACAATGCTAAAGGGAGGGATAAAAGGTGCGCAGGAGGAGAAACAAATTGCAAACCAGTACAGTGAACAAAGATGTCTTACATACGCACAAGTCACAAGGGGACAACAAGTCAAAAGGGAGGTAGTATGGAGGAGGAAAGATAAAGGGGAGTACCAGGATGAAGAGGAAAGATGGGAAGGTCAAACAATACAAGCTGTTGAGACTAACTTGAACAAACTCCAGAATACATGGGTGGGGTACTTGAAGGATCTTACTTTAATTGACAATATTGGCGAAGCAGGTTTTCTGTATGATAATACTGATCTAAAGCTGAAGTATTGGGTGGATGATATGGTTCTAATTTCGGGGTTAGAAGAAGAAACCATGAAGGAGAGAATCAGTGACAAAAGTGATGTACTAAATGTTATCTTCAACAAGGTTGTGAAGTGGTCACAGTCAGTTTCGACTGGGAATAGGATGGTGTGGGTCCGGTGTTATGGTGTCCCACTTCAACTATGGAATGAGGAATGTCTTGGCCAGGTAGTAGGTGAACTAGGAACAGTGGTGGGTATACATAGAGATACACTTGAACTGAATGAGGTAAACTCTGCAAGGGTCCTAATCAGGACAGGATCGGCCCGGTTCATTAATTCCCATAAATTGGTAAAGATTAATGGGGAGAGAAGGCAAATAAGACTGGTAGAGGAGGTGGTTAGCAAACGGACGGGGTGCAACTGCTGGTTCTTACGGAATAACTTCACCGATTCAGAGGTGACATCCATGTTGAGTGAAGTAGGGCTATGGTTGCAATCATCTGGATCAGAGTGTTCAACGGATGGCTACGAGAACGTGTCCCATGTGGCTGAGTCAGTACAAGCAATGGTGGAAGAGGAGGTTCAAACGGAAGAGAAGGGTGAAGGACAAATCGGAGAAGGGAGGGAAATTTGAATGATTACACGGTGGATAATAGCATTAACCAAACAACTAATGGAGAACTGGCAGATATTTCTACGCAAAGGGGCGGCCAGTACACGAGTGTGTCAGACAAAGGACTAGCAATTCAGAATAGGGAGATGGCGGATCAAAATGGGGATTTGCTGGTAATTCAGACTGAGAATGTGGGAAAAGAAAAACAACAAATAAATGGCCCTGACAAAGTCAAAGATTTGGAAAATGTTGAACAGGACGAGCAGGAAATAGTCCAAAAAACTGGATCATTTGTGGTTAAAAGTTGGCCTAACAAGGTGAATGTAGAAAACCAAACAAGGGAAGACCAACAAATCACTAAAAACGGGTCAAAAGCTGGGAAGAGGGGGAGGTTAGAGCAAAAGGCTGCGAAGGAGATAAACGTAGATACACTGTACGAGGTGCCAGTAATTACGTACACAATGCCTGGAAATTTCCCGAAGGCCGTCCAGGAGGGGAGCATCAAAGGATGTGGAGTAACCCAACAACCAAGCAACGAAGTCGATTACACAGGTGGAAACAAACAAGCTGCAAAAACCCACCAACTACCTAAGGCCACATACTGCAAGAGGCAAAACAAAATCAACAAAGTGGTTTTCTTTTCTTCTCTCTTCTTCTTCTTCTCCTTCAATCTTTCTCTTTCTCTTCTTTTCGTGCCGCCCAACCCTCTCTTTGTCAAACCATCAAATACACATAGCCAATACCATAA